AATGATCACTTTTGACTCCATGTCTCACATCCCGGTCATGCTAATGCAAGAGGTGGGTTCCCATAGTCTTGGGCAACTACACCCCTGTGGCTTGGCAAGGTGCAGCCTCCCTCCCAACTGCTTTCACGGGCTGCCATTGAATGTCTGTGGCTTTTCCAGGTGCACAATGCAAGCCTTTGGTGGATCTACCATTCTGGGGTCTGAAGGACGGTGGTCCTCTTCTTACAGCTCTACTAGGCAGTGCCCCAGTGGGGACTCTATGTGGGGGCTTCAACTCCACATTTCCTTTCCATACTGCCCTAGCAGAGGTTCTCCATGAGGGCCCTACCCCTGCAGCAAACGTCTGCCTGGCATCCAGGCATTTCCTTACATCCTCTAGGTGGAGGTTCCCAAACCTTAATTCTTGACTTCTATGCACCTGCAGGCTCAACCACATGAAGGCTGCCAAGGCTTGGGGTTTCCACCTTCTGAAGTCATGGCCCGAGCTGTACCTCAGCTCCTTTAGCCATTGCTAGAGCAACTGGGATGCAAGGCACCAAGTCCCTAGGCTGCACACAGCAGGGGGGCCCTGGCCCTGGCCCATGAAACCACTTTTTCCTCCTGGGCCTCTGGGTCTGTGATGGGAGGGGTTGCTGCAAAGGTCTCTGACATAGCCTAAAGACATTTTCCCCATTGTCTTGATGATTAACATTTGGCTCATTGTCACCTATGCAAATTTCTGCAGGTGGCTTGAATTTCTCCTCAGAAAAATGTGTTTTTTTCTATTGCGTTGACAGTCTGCACATTTTTCGAACTTTTATGCTCTCTTTTAAAACTGAATGCTTTTAACAGAAGCCAAGTCACCTCTTGAATACTGTGCTGCTTAGAAGTTTCTTCCACCAGATACCCTAAATCATCTCCCTCAAGTTCGAAGTTTCGCAAATCTCTACAGCAGGGGCAAAATGCCACCAGTGTCTTTGCTGAAACATAGCAAGAGCCACTTTTTCTCCAGTTCCCAACAAGTTCCTCATCTCCATCTGAGACCACCTTGGCCTGAATTTCATTGTCTATGTCATTATCAGCATTTTGGTCAAAGCCATTCAACAAGTCTCTATGCAGTTCCTAACTTTCCCACATCTTCCTGTCTTCTTCTGAGCCCTCCAAACTGTTCCAACCTCTGCCTGTTACTCAATTCCAAAGTTGCTTCCACATTTTTGGGTATCTTTACAGCAGCACCCCCCCACTCCTGGTACCAATTTACTGTATTAGTCCATTTTCATGCTGCTGATAAAGACATACCCAAGATTAGGTGATTTATAAAGAAAAAGAGGTTTAATGAACTCACAGTTCCACGTGGCTGGGGAGGCCTCACAATCATGGTGGAAGGAGAAAGACACATCTTACATGGTAGCAGGCAAGAGAGAATGAGAGCCAAGCAAAGGGGGAAACCCCTTAAAAAAATAAAACTGTCGGATCTCTTGAGACTTATTCACTACCACAAGTACAGTATGGGGGAAACTGTCCCCATGATTCAGTTATCTCCCACCGGGTCTCTCCCACAACACATGAGAATTATAGGAGCTCAATTAAAGATAAGATTTGGATGGGGACACAGCCAAGCCATATCACACCTTATAGGGCATTTACCATGAATGGAGCTTGCAGGGCTGTAAGTCTTTTTGGGTGAGTCAGTGTGTGAGTAGTGAGTGAATGTGAAGACTAGAACATTACTGTATACTACTGTGGATTTTATAAATGCTGTATAGTTAGGATATACTAAGTTTATTAAATATGTTTTTATTTCTTCAGTAATAAATCACCCTTAGCTTACTGTAACTTTTTTACTTTATGAACTTTTTTTGTTTTGTTTTGTTTTGAGACAGAGTCTCACTCTGTCACCAGGCTGGAGTGCAGTGGCACGATCCTGGCTCACTGCAACCTCTGCCTCCCAGGTTCAAGCGATTCTCCTGCCTCAGCCTCCCAAGTAGCTGGGACTACAGGCATGGGCCACCATGCACAGCTAATTTGTATTTTTACTGGAGACGGGATTTCACCATGTTGGCCAGGATGGTCTCGATCTCTTAACCTCATGATCTGCCCAGCTCGGCCTCCTAAAGTGCTGGGATTACAGGCGTAAGCCACTGTGCCCAGCCTAAACTTTTAAATATTTTGAAACTTTTGACTTTTTTGTAATAACACTTGGCTTAAATACAAACACAGTGTGCAGCTATACAAAAATATTTATATCCTTACTCTATAAGCATTTTTCTATTAAAAACTTTTTTTTTTTAACTTCTTAAACGTTTTTGTTAAAAACATAGACACAAACATCCACATTAGCCTAGGCCTTCACATCTTGATGACAATCATTGCCATGTCACTAGACCATAGGAACTTTTCAGCTTCATTATAATCTTATGGAACCACTGTCGTATATGTGGTCCATAGTTGATCACAGTGTTGTTATATGGAGAATTACTGTAATTTAAACCTTTGAAGATATTACCTTTATGTCTACGTACTATTCCCAACATGATTATTAACCTTGAAAGGAATTTGACCTATATTTTATCCTTTTTAAATTATGAAATACTTTACACATAGAAAAATGCACAAAACAGAAACATATAGCTCAGTGATTTATTACAAAGCAGAAGACCCATATAGGTACAACCTAGGTAAAGAAATAGAGTAGCACTAGTAACCCCAAAGCTGCTCTCCATTTTTTTTGCCTTTCAGTCACCCTAGAGTGTTCAGTGTCACAACTGTTACAATCATGACTCTCTTGCCTTTCTTCTTACCACCTAAGCTCATATCCCTGAATATTGTAGTTTAATTTTTTCTGTTTTAACAATTTATTCAGTCTGTATTCTTTTGTTTATGGTTTTCTCATTCAACATGATGTTTTTGAGATTCATTCAAGTAATTGTCAGTAGTTTTAGTTTGTTTTTATATCTGTACAGTAAGTGTATATTATAATTCTGTATTCTAAATGGCATAGTGTACAGTAGTGTTTCTGTGTAGCATACTATAAGGTATTTTTATGTAGTAAGTATATACTATATCCATTTTACTGTTGATGGGATTTTGAGTTTTCCAATTTTTTGGCTATTATGGGTAATAATACTTATGAACATTCTTATACCTATCTCTTGGTGCACATGTACAAGCATTTCAGTTGTGTATATGTTCAGAATGGCTTGTTGGGTCATAGACTATCAATATCTTCAGCTTTAGAAGAAATTGTCAAACTCTTTTTCCATAGTGATTATATCAATTTACATTTCCACTAGCAGAGTATGGTTGTTTACATTCCTCTACTTTCTTGTCAACACGTGCTATTGTCAATCTTTTTACTTTTAACCATTCTGGTGAGTGTGTAGTGGTATTTCCTTGGGTTTTCAGCTTATTTTTTCCTCATGACTAATGAGATTGATAGTCTGTCTTCTGAAGTGCCTATTAATGTCTTAAGCCAATTTATATATAGTCTCTTCTCTCTTTTTCTTAAATTGATTTGTAGGCGTTCCTCATGTATTCTGGATATGAGCCCTTTATGGCCATACCACCCTGAATGCTCCTGATCTCATCTGATCTCCGAAGCTAAGCAGGGTTGGGCCTGGTTAGTACTTGGGTGGATATGAGCCCTTTGCCAGTTATGCTTGTTGCATATATCGTCTTGCACTCTGTGGGTTACCTTAAATAGTCTTTGACAAATGGGAATTTTAAATTTTAATGCAGTTCAGTTTATTAAAATATGTCTATGATTAGGCTGGGTGTGGTGGTTCATGCCTGTAATCCCAGCACTTTGGGAGGCTGAGGCAGTGGATGACTTGAACCTGGGAGTTCAAGACCAGCCTGGCCAACATGGTGAAACCCCATCTCTACTAAAAATACAAAAAATTAGGCAGCGTGGTGGTGAGTGCCTGTAATCCCAGCTACTTGGGAGGCTGAGGCAGGAGAATAGCTTTAACCCAGAAGGTAGAGGTTACAGTGAGCCAAGATTGTGCCACTGTATTCCAGCCTGGGCAACAGAGTGAGAATCAACTTCAATAAATAAATAAATGAAATTATGTATATGATTGATGCTCTTTATGTTCCATTTAAGAAGTATTTCCCTGTCCTAAGGTCATGATAACTTTCTTATACGTTAGCCTGCATATAGAAGCTTTATTGGTTTGCCTGTAATATTTAATTTAGATCTACAGTCCCCATGGAACTAATTTTTTGTGAATATGTTTAGTTGAATGCAGGCTTATTTTTTCCCTATTGATATCCAGTTGTCTTATCACCTTTTAGTGAAAAGATCATTCTTTCTTGTGCTGTGCCACCTTAATGATAAATTAAGTGTTCATGAAATGGGTATCTGTTTCTGGGCCTTCTTTTCTTTGCCATTGATCTCTTTTTCTATCACTTACCAATATTATATTCCTAATTCCCAGTAGAGCAAATCTTTCAGTCTTGTTTTTCTTCTTAAAGATTTAGTTTTTGGTTGTTCTTGGTCTTCAGTGTTTCCATATAAATATTTTTAATTTTTATTTTTGCTATTTGATTTCGAACTTAATTGCATTGTAGTAAGAAAATGTACTTTGTATGATTTCAATCCTTCCAAATTTGAGAGTTTCTTAGTGTATCTCGGCATGTGGTCAATTGTAATAAATGTTCTATGTCTTCTTGAAAAGGATATATTCCCCCCCACCCGATCTTGTAATTTAAAAGATGTTCTATATGCAAGTAGAAAAATAAGAGGAAACTCAGATCACAAAATACAGAATTGTCTATGGGGCAAAGAAAAATGCCAGAAATATACCAAACTGTCTTAAGTGCAGGCTTCATGGCTGGTCCTTGGCATAATACTTCACACAGAACTTCTTAAATATGTGCTGATATTTTTAGCTATCAAAGGCATGTGATTTAGTATTACTTGAGACAAAATATTTTTTCTTTTGCCCTGGGTGTACCAGCTGTTGACTAATAACTCCAAGAAAAGGATGTTATAAACTTTTAGAAACATTTGCTTTCAGCATCTGCCAGAGCATCTTTTGGAGATCGAAAGGTAGAACTTTCCAGTTCATCCCAGCACGGACCCAGCTATGATGTGTATAACCCATTCTATATGTATCAGCACATTTCACCTGATTTGAGTCGACGCTTTCCTCCCCGTTCAGAAGTGACGAGACTGTATGGATCGGGTATGAAAATTTTTTCTGCTTTTCCTCTTTGTGTTTCTCTTTAAGAAATTTAGAAATCAAATCTAAGATCTGGGAATAAATGGTTCTTACTATTAAAAGCAATTTAAAAATAAGAAAAAAGCAAGCTTCATAAATGTGATAAACATTATGACATCTCTGTAGTATTATATCTAATATGAAAATTGAAAGGTTAATGAGTTACATCTGTTGGTAGTTCTACATTCCATTTAATTTCCCTTTTTTTGAAAGAAGCTTTAGTTCAAGAGCTCTTTTGTACAACATGGAGACTATAGTTAATTATGATATATTCTTGAAAAGTGCTAAGAGAGTGGATATTAGATTTTCTCAAAACACTTTTTGTTATCACTCAAAAGTGATAACTGTGAGGTAATACATTTGTAAATTAGCTAGACTTAATCATTCTGCAATGTATATATACTTTAAAACATTATGTTGTTCATAATAAATACATACAACAAAAGAGAAGGGAGTTAGCTGCATACCAGGTACAAGGGAAGAAAACATGAAAAAGCAAGAAGTTTAGTTTTCAGATTATTTTGTCTTTTTGTTGTTGTTGTTTTGAGACAGAGTCTCACTTTGTTGCCCAGGCTGGAGCACAGTGGTGCAATCTCAGCTCACTGCAGCATCAACCTCCCAGGCTCAAGTGATTCTCACACCTCAGCTCCTCATCACCCCTGCCCCCCACCCCAGAAGCTGGGACTACAGGCATGTGCCACAACACCTGATTAATTTTTTTTGTATTTTTTGTAGAGACAGGGTTTTGCCATGTAGCTGAGGTTGGGCTTGAACTCCTGGGCTGAAGCAGTCCTCCTGCCTTGGCCTCCCAAATTGCTGGAATTACAGGCATGAACCACTGCACCAGCCCAGATTATTTTGTGTGCATTTCACTTGTCATCTGTATATTCATGAACTCTATAACAGCTATTTGTACATAGATATTTGTACTAAATACGGTAATATTTTTTCATTTTCTGTATTCAGTGAAAATGATGAATTTAGAAACTCATAGTGTGATGGGAAATATAAACAAAGAAACTGCTTAAGTGATTATAGAGCTTTTGTAGTTTCATATTTGAGACTGTGTGAATTAGAGTCTACCATGTTCATCTGTGATTCACAAAATTCTCAATTTTTCAGGGGATATATCTATATCTATATCTATATATCTCAACCACTGAATTTAGTGTGAGGTACTGAAAATAAAGAAGAAATACTTATTTAAGGGCCTGCCTTGCGTTCACTACTGTGCTTGAATATATAATTGGCATACAAAGTTCCTTTCTTCACAGATCTTACAGTGTAGGAGGGAAACTAAAAATACAGACTAGAAATATGGGAGCACATGGGATTGAGTATTGATTTTTAAAAGTAATACGTGCTTATTAATAATAAATAATTGCATTACACTTAATACAGAGTATTTACTCTTAGATTATTTTTATTGGATCAAGGAATGGGGAATGTAAAGAAAAAAGTGAATTTTCCCTGTTTGATATTTGATGTGGATATGAAAATGTGTTGTTTGATTTATGTTGATTTCTGTTTCGAACAAAAATAAAATAATTGAAAAAAAATTTTTAAGTTAAAAAATATTTTATTAGAAGGCTTTATCTCTTCTGTAGATTTACACATAATATTCATGATGTATTGCTACAGAGATTTATTCATGGTAATTAAGTAGAATTCCAGTGTTTCTTAAAAATATATATTTTTCTCATATCCCTTTGTAGTTTGTGATTTAAGGACCAACAAACTTCCCGGTTCCCCTGGGCTAAGCAAATCTATGTTTGATCTTACAAGCTCATCTCAGCGATTCATCCAGGTGAATTAGCTACATAAATTTAATTATATGTGATAATTTCCTTTCAAATTAAAAATTCAGAAATGTGTGAATTACATTAGGAATATGTTGTATATTTTTTGTAGATGTATCTGTTCTGATATCTGAAGAATAAATAATTGATATTTCCCATGTACATTATTTTAGAAAGCTGTTGTTATTTGATTGCTAAAAGGCAGTAGTTTTTCTTTTTTCAATAAATTTTATATCTCAGTTGGTATGCTCTCAGGGAACCTTGAAACAGTTGGTATTTAAAATGGTATAATTAAAAGTGCTTATTAATTTAGCTTTTCTTACCGAATATAACCAGCTAGTTATTAAAAATTATATTTCTTTTGAGATGTAGGACTTTATTCACTAATATTAACACTGCATCCTCTTGGTTTTGAAAAGGAATTAAGAATTATTTTGATGTTTTAAAAAATGTTTCTTTTTTATTACAAGTAAGCTGTAATTATTTAAATTAGGAAATAGAAGTAAGCAAAGTAGAAAGACAAATTCCTGTATTTCCTATAACTCAGAGTAAGTGCAATGTGAAAATATTATTATATGTACTCATGGTCTTGTTTCCATGTGAATACATATACATATATTTTATAAAATGGAAATATGTTCTAGATAATCCTTAATCCTCAACTGAGTTAACTTTTTATAGATTTAAATTTTTATAGCAACAGTTGTTTAACATGCATCAGAATTGTTTGGAGAGCTTGTTAAAACACAGGATGACAGGCTTCATCCCCAGAGTTCTTAATTCAGTAGCTCTGCAGTAGGGCCTGAGTTTGTATTCCTACCAAGTTCCAAATGATACTGATGCTGCAGGTTCAGATTGACTATGCTTTGATAATTGCAGCTTTACAAGTTTTTCCATAGCAGGCTATTTCTAAATAAATTCTCATTTTCATTAATACTCTCAGGTATGAAACCTAAGCAGTAACATCTTTCTCCTTATTACAAAACCAAATCAAAAACAGCAAAGGCTTTCCAGTATATTATCTTGTAAGATGTTTAAGATATTCCTAACAAATGCCAAAACCTTTTTTTCTTTTTCACTACCTGTAAGTGGGAAATTCTGACCTGTAACACTGTCAAAATAGCATGCAGTTTGTTATGAGGATGGATATTGAGGCATATGTATCAGAATCCTTAAGGTTTCATATGCAATTTCTGACTAAAGAATAATTTTATTTATAGAGACATGATTCATTGTCCAGTGTACCCAGTAGTTCTTCTTCAAGGAAAAATTCTCAGGGGAGTAACAGAAGCCTGGGTAAGGAATAAAGTACCCTATTTTTAAACTCTTAAGATAATTATTTCTAGTAACTTGAAATTGTATATAAGGTGAAAAACTCTAGATGATTATATCTACTATGTTGATATAATAAATTAAGTCTAAATAAAACTATGTTGGTAGTGTTATCAGCATATGGATACTTAGGTCACATGGTACATTTCTCAGTGTTCAGGTACAAGTGTGGCTTTTTAAAAAGTGAAGCAGCTGAGTATCTTTTGTTTGTATTAAAGTGTGCTGGTGAAGGAGCCTTCAGAAGAATACAGTATTAAGGCCATATATATATTATTTGGAAAGATTTCTCTTAGTTTTAATGTAAATCCCTTACTGCAATTGGGTTAAGTTTTTAAACCCATGAGACCTTTTTATAGTATATATCTTCCCTCTGGTGCATCAATGAAAACATTAAAGTGTGATTTTTGTCTTCTTAGATTGTGAACTTTAAAAAATAATTGTAGCATTTAAAAATTGTGCTCTTAAAATTGGATTGTATCAAAGCTTAATTGGGTTAGAAGGATTGCATGGCATTTGAAACATCTTTGTCCTTTTATAATTCAGATACAATTACTCTATCAGGAGATGAAAGGGACTTTGGGAGACTGAATGTGAAATTGTTTTATAATTCTTCAGTAGAACAGATCTGGATCACAGTTTTACAGGTAAATTAGTATAGTTAATACCAGCTTTTATTACAAAATTGAATATTTAGACATTGTAAACATTTACTGTTGCCCTTTTCTGGGGAATGGGCCAGTGACACCTTTGAAATTTGGAATTCTTTAATATTTTTACAGAAAATAGTATTTAATAAAGCATCTAAGAAAAAAAAATCTGTAGTATGATGGAAGTTTGTGTGCTTTTAAGCTCAAGAGGAAAATTGACATGACATCTAGAATATTATATGTCAAAATTTGCTTAATGTGGATGCAACATGAGGTCTCAGTAGACAAGTTTATTTTTACAGTTTTTATCTAAAGTCAGTACCTCAAGAAATACATCAAATGTTTGTATTGTTGGATCCTTTGTAAAATTCAAACTGTATTTTTAATTTTTTTAGTGCAGAGATTTAAGTTGGCCCTCTAGTTATGGAGACACTCCTACTGTTTCTATAAAAGGAATACTTACATTGCCCAAACCAGTGCATTTCAAATCTTCAGCCAAGGAAGGTTCCAACGTAAGTGGCTGTTTGTGTTTGAATTTCTTTTCTGTTTTTCTTATGTCACTTTTACCCATGTAAACAAATCAGAATAAGAAAGTCTTTTATCTCAGGGAAACTACAACTATGTATTGTTGCTTTTTCAAGACAACTTTGAGTCTCTAAAATATTTGATATTTCATTGTCTAGTATTAAGATGCATTTAAAAAGAACATCTTATTCACTAGAATATACAGAAGATGAATAATATCTAAGAAACCTATTTACTTTTCTTGTGTGAAATGAAATAAATCTTGGCTTCTGTTTCCCCCAACCCACTTTGGCCTTGAAAAATAATTTCATGATTGCAATGAATTTCTTTTAAATACTTCCAATTAGTATAACAGAAGGACTTACGATCCTGAGTTTGGTTTTGTAGATTCCAGATTTTACATTAATTTAAATACATGTTCATTTCTGTCGTTTGTTATAGGTTAAAAGACTATTGTTTTTCTATGCAAATGAAAATATATCTTCTAAAACACATCATTTAAAAATAATATTCAAATGACTAATAAACATATAAAAAGTTTCTTCTCACTATTAATCATAGAAATACAAATTTAAATTGCATATTGCTTTCTGTTTCTTCCTCTTTCTTTCTTTCCTTTCTTCTTAGAATTAGGAAAAATTTTACAGGTATTCTAGAACATACAACTTCTTAGAAATTATCTTGACACTACATGTCAAAACCTTAAAATATTTACACTTTTAAACAGTAATTCTGCTTTGAAACTGGAAATTATTTTTGTGGAAATAATCTAAAATACAAACAAAAATATATAAAATATTCTTGGAAGTTTTATTTGAAGAAAAATTGAAAAAAGTCCAAATGTCATACAGAGGAATGGTTGAAAAACCTAATGGTGTACCTATGTGCATTGGTTTCCTAGGGCTACCATAACACAGTACTGTACCACAAACTGAGTGACTTACAGCAACAGAATTTTCTCTCTTGCAGCTTTGGAGAAAGTCCAAAATTAAAATGTCAGCAGTGTTGATTCCTTCTCTGAGGGAGAATCTGTTCCATGCCTCTCTTCCAGTTACTGTGATGGCCAGCAATCCTTAACATTCCCTGACTCGTAGATCACTCCAGTCTCTGCTTCTGTCTTCACATGGCATTATACCTGTGTTCTGTGTATTCACATGGCCATCTTCTTAAAAGGATACCAGTCAGTAGAGGTCCACCCTACTTCAGTATTACCTCTTCTTAACTTCACTGATCACGTCTACAGTGACCCTCTTTCCAAATGAGTTCACATTCTGAGATGCTGGGGCTCAGGACTTCAACATATCTTTTTTAGAAGGGTGTAATTCAGCCCATAACACCATGTGATAGAAACCTAGGTAGCTATGAAAACTAATGTTTAGGAAGAGTTTTTAAGGAGCTGGAAAAACATTTTTAATAAATGAAAAAGGCAGTGATCAAAATTGGGGTGTGTGTGTATGTGTATACATGTATGAATGTGTATATATGTATGTGTATATGTATATATTAGGATCTCACTTTATGAAAATATGTATCATCGAAAGTCTAGCTAGAAATAAACCTTAACTCATTATAACCTTGACACTCATAGATGACTACTTTCTAAATTAAACAATTTTACTTTTTGATTTTCAAATAAAGCTAATTTAGCTTAGGAAAAGTTAGGAAAAATGTTCCCATATTAAAACTTGTATGGAGTCTTTCATTTTACAATTTTGTTATTATATATAAAGTTGTTTGGGAGACTCCTATTTGGCAAAATATGGAAAGTGTGAAATGAAGCATCACACTTGCTTAATTTGTAAGCTCATTAAACATTTTGTGTTTAATATATAATTGGCTTGATTCTATGGCTTGAGACTCTAAAAGAAAAAGATAGCTCAGTAGTTGTGAGACCCTCAGAAAGACAATTCTGGCTATACAGAGAGACATAAGCTATTACAACAAGAGTAACAATTTGGGCACAGTATAGGCATACTTCGGAGATACTGTAGATTCAGTTCCAGACCACCACACTAAAACGAACATTGCAATAAAGCAGATCACATGAGTTTTTTGGTTTCCCAGTGCACACAAAAGTTATCTTTATACTGTAGTCCATTAAGTGTGCAATAGCATTATGTCTAAAAAAGTAATTTACACACTTCAGTTTAAAATACTTTATTTCTAAAAAATGTTAGTGATCATCTGAGTCTTCAGAAAGTTGTAATCTTTTTGCTGGTGGAAGGTTTTGCCTTGATGTTGATGGTTGCTGAATGATCAGGGTGGTGGCTGGTGAAGGTTGAAGTGGCTGTGGCAATTTCTTGAAATAAGTCAACAGTGAAGTTGACCACATCTATTACTCTTCCTTTCACAAAAATGTTCCCTGTAGTATGTGATGCTGTTTGACAGCATTTTATCCACAGTAGAACTTCTTTCAAAATTGGATTCCATCCTCTCAAACCCTACTATTGCTTTTCAGCTAAGTTTATGTAATATTCTGAATCCTCTGAATTCATTTAAACAATGTTCACAGCATCTTTTCCAGGAGTAGATTCCATCTCCAGAAACTACTTTCTTTGCTTATGTGTAAGAAGCAACTTCTTATCTGTTCATATTTTATCATGAGATGGCAGCCATTCAATTGCATCTTCAGGATCCACTTCTAATTCTAGTTCTCTTGCTGTTTCCACCACATCTGCAATTACTTCCTCTGCTGAAATCTTGAATCCCTCAAAGTCAGCCATGAGGGTTAGAATAAACTTCTTCCAGATTCCTGCTAATGTCCTTATTTTGACCTCTTTTCATGCATCATGAATTTTCTTAATGGCATCTAAAATCCTGAATCCTTTCTAAAAAGTTTTCAATTGCTTTTGCCCAGGTCCATCAGAGGAATCACTATCTATGGCAGCAATAGCCTTACAAAATTTATTTTTTAAGTAATAACACTTGAAAGTTGATCCATGGGATGCAGAATGGATGTGTCTGCAGACATGAAAATAAATAACATTCATCTCTGTATACATCTCTGTCAGGGCTCTTGGGTGACGAAGTGCATTGTCAATGAGAAATAGTGTTTTGAAAGGAATCTTTTTTTTTTCTTTGAGCAGTAGATCTCAATGGTAGACTTAAAATATTTAGTAAACCATGCTATGCTTTAAACAGATATGCTGTTATCCAGGCTTTGTTCCATTTATAGAGCACACGCAGAGTTAATTTAGTGTAATACTTAAGGGCCCTAGGATTTTCAAAACAGTGAGTGAGTGTTGGCTTCAACTCAAAGTGACTGATTGCATTAGCCCCTAACAAGAGAGTCAGCCTGGTCCTTTGAAGCCTTGCAGTCAAGCATTGACTTCTCTGTAACTGTGAAAGTCCTAGATGGTATCTTCTTCCAACAGAAGGCTCTTTTGTCTACATTGAAAATCTGTTGTTGAATGTAGCCACCTAGATCTTCTGAATAACTTGCTGCAACTTCTACATTAGCACTTGCTGCTTCACCTTGCACTTTTATGTTTTGGAGACTGTTTCTTTCCTTAAACCTCATGAACCAACCTCTACTAGCTTTTAGTTTTTCTTCTTCAGCTTCTTCACCTCTCTCAGCCTTCATAGAATTGAGGAGAGTTAGGACCTTGCTCTGAATTAGGTTTTGGCTTAAGGGAATGTTGTGGCTGATTTGATTTTCTGTCCAGACAAATAAAACTTTCTCCACATCAGCAATAAGGCTGTTTCACTTTGTATGTTCACTGGAGTAGTACGTTTAATTTCCTTCAGTAATTTTTTCCTTTGCATTCACAACTTGACTAAGTGATATAAAAGGCCTAGCTTTTGGTCTATCTCGGCTTTCGACGTATTTTCCTCACTAAGCTTAGTCATTTTTAGCTTTTGATTTAAAGTCAGAGATATACGTTTGTTCCTTTCAGTTGAACACGTAGAGGGCGTTTTCGGGTTATTAATTGGCCTGATTTCAATATTGTTTGTGTCTTAGGAAACAGGGAGGCCTGAGGAGAGGGAGAGAGATGGAACAGCTGGTTGCCGGAGCCATCAGAACACACACATTTATCGATCAAGTTGCCCATCTTATATAGGTGTGGTTTGTGGCACTCCAAAACAATTGCAATAGTAATATCAAAGATCACTGAGCACAGGTCACCATAACAGATATAATCATATTGAAAAAGTGTGAACTATTGTGAGAATTACCAAAATGTGACAGAGACATGAAGTGAGCACATGCTATTAGAAAAATGACACTGATAGACTTACTCAACACAGTGTTGCCACGAACGTTCAATTTGCAAAAAATGTAATGTCTGTGAAGCACATTAAAGCAAAGTACAGTAAAATAAGGTATGCCTGTATTCAAAATATTTACGCTAGTTGCCCAGATATCTTGCCTTTTCAAAAGGAGTAAAAGCTCCTTTCTAAATGTATGCATTAAAGATGGAAAGAAGGAAGTGTATGGCAAAGAACAGTCTAGTGTCAAGAACATGTTAGCCCATAGTAAGCCAAGGATTTTAAAATATTAAAAGTAACAAGAGCATTTAAAAATGTTCTGAGGCTGGAAAACACTGACTTGCTGACTGAGATGGGTGATTAGGAAAGAAAGTATAATTTTAAACTCATATTTTCCTTTGTCTTCTCTATCAAGGAGTTAGTTTTTCAGATAGGAAAGGGTGGAATAAATGTCACCAAAAAGGAAACTGAAGCCTAAGATAGATGGGAAGATTCGTTAGACAAAAAATAACTCCTTTAAAGAAATAATTCAAGTCTCTTTATGTGAACTAGTTAGATACTGTGAACAAGAGAGTGCTTGCATGTAAGATTCCTGCACCACTCTCCTAAACTGTTGAAGAATGGTGATGATGACAGGAAAGATGCCAGAACCAACGATGGAAAAACAATTAATTTTCAAAAAGGGAAAAAGCTGTATTGTGGTGAGCATGGTGTTGATATGACCCGAATTCCTAAATAATTTAAAGGATGATTTGTCAAATTAAGAAAGGGAGTATCCAGGATAAACTCTAGAAAAGCAAGTCATTGCCATTCTTATTTTCACTCACATTAAAAAGATGTTTTGTTGTAAAAAGAATTAAATATACCTTTTCTGAATATAAAATAAAATATTATTTTGTACTGGCATATAAGCCTTTTATTTATATATTTTATGTTTTCTTGTTTTTTTTTAAAGGCTATTGAATTTATGGAAACGTTTGTATTTGCTATTAAACTTCAAAGTCTACAAACCGTAAGGCTTATATTTAAGATTCAAACCCAGACTCCCAGGAAGAAAACCATTGGAAAATGCTCACTATCACTCAGAACCCTTAGCACACAGGAAATGGATTACTCTCTGGATATAACACCGCCTTCAAAAATTTCTGTAAGTGATAATAGTATGTTAAGAGTATTTCGTACTTTTAGAATTATTTGGTGGATGGGTTTTTGTTTGTTAGAAGATAACCTGAATAGAATATTAGAGGATCTAGAAGGCTCTCAAGTAGCAATAATATTATTTCCAAATAATATTTTAGAAATTATTGATAAAATGTTAACAGAACTGTTTTCTTTCTCTGTTGGAAAATAACCTCAAGTTTACCTTCTCCTAGCACATTTCTTATTAATATTTTATACTTCAGGGGAAATAACTGAGGTATGAATAACCTTTTTTTTAAAAGATTTTTTAGGTAGCTGATAACTTAGGAAAAACAAAAAAGAATCATAAATTCCAAACTCAATCAGAGATTGCCCTGAAATAGATTAGAAAAGTTGTTTTAACCATGAGTAAGCTATACAGCAGCTCATAAATTATTAGAAGTTTTACAGCTGATTTTTTTTTTTTTTTTGTAAAAAGCTTTATTGCCTAATGGTGCTGATTGGGACCTGCTCTTTGCTTCTCTCAGCAAACTGAACACTGTTTTTAAATCATTTAGGAATTTCTAATTAAATTATATAGATCAAATGTTAGGATAAATATTCATAAAAATCAGTCTTAAGCTTTTATAAGGTCAAACCTATATATGGTTTTAAATTTATATGGGATTTATATTTTACCTTTTTCCAAAAATATTTAAGGTGACTGGAAGTGCTTCTTAACTCTGGGTACACATTAGAATCATCTGGGAGCTTTAAAAAAATGCCCATACATAAACTAAAAAAAATCAGAATTTTGGGGGATATGGGGCAGAAACATGTTTCCTTCCTTCCTTCTTTCCTTTTCCCTCTCCTCCCCTCCTGTCCTCCCCTCCCCTCGTCCCTTCCCCTCCCTTTCCCTTCCCTTCCCTTCCCTTCCTTTTTTTTGAGGAAGAAAGACAGCTCTGTAGCCCAGCATGGAGTGCAGTGCACAATCACAGCTCACTACCTTCTTCATCTTCCAGCCCAAGCAATCCTCCAACCTCAGCCTCCTGAGAAGCTAGGACTACAGGCATACCACGATGCCCAGATAATTTTTAAAATTTTTAGTAGAGATGAGGAGTCTCACTATATTGCCCATTCTGGTCTCAAACTCCTGAGTTCAAACAATCCTCTTGCCTCGGCCTCCCAAAGTGCTGGGATTGCAGGCATGAGCCACTGCACCCAGCCTTGCCTATTATTCTTTATCTCAACCCCCAATGTGCTGTTCTGTAACTATGACAGGAGTTTGTCACTGGCATATTTGACACTAGCTTAGTAGGTAGTAATCTGCAGCCATAGTTTACAGAAGGCACAAATACGCTATTTAAATAGATAATTCATATATTAAAACGTTAAAAACAGAGTATATAAGAAGAGAACTCAGGGATTTTCTGGGGAATTGAGACATTATTATCTGCATTGGAAAATATGAATGAATAATTATGGCTAAATTTCTACTAAATTATATTTCATGTATCAGAGATCTTATAAATATTTGTGTATTTTCTGAATGCCAAGTGCTAGGGTTATAGATTGATACCCTGAAAGAAGAGTGTTTGGGCTATACTGGACTAGTGAGTTTATGTTAGTAAGTGTGACTATTTCATATTATTGGCTAAAGCAATAATAGTATGCTTTGTTTTAATGTGTTGAAGAGGAAAATAAATATTCTAATTGTGACATTTAAAGAGCCAGACTTGGCCAGGCATGGTGGGCTTACACCTGTAATCCCGGCACTTTGGGAGGCCGAGGCGGGCGGATCACAAAGTCAGGAGATCGAGACCATCCTGGCTAACATGGTGAAACCCCGTCTCTACTAAAAATACAAAAAATTAGCCAGACGTGGTGGCGAGTGCCTGTAGTCCCAGCTACTTGGGAGGCTGAGGCAGGAGAATGGCGTGAACCTGGGAGGCGGAGCTTGCGGTGAGCTGAGATCGAGCCACTGCACTCCAGCCTGGGTGACAGAGTGAGGCTCTGTCTCAAAAAAAAGAGCCGAATTTAACCATCCACACTGACAAGTGTTTCACCATGAGCAGCACAACTTTCAGGCTTTTACTCAATAAAGAATTCTTGACCTTGACAAATAGTAATGTAAATAGTTACTTCAGATCTCAAATTTTGGTGTTGAATAATGTGGAAGAAATACGTTTTCCTGAAGAAACAGCTGGCATTTACAGAGATTTTATCTTACGGCTGCCTCAATGCTATGTGATCTAATGATCACACCAAAATTATCACCCCGGTGCTCTTTATCCCTTTTGTGGAGATCAGGGGAACACTTGCCTGAGGTCATACAGCCAGTATTGGGGAGTCAGGATTTGAATGGAGGCAGTCTGATTCCAAAGCCAGCTCTTTTAACTCTACCATGTATTGCCCCCCTAAAAAGATATTCTCAAACATCACCAGATCGTGATGTTCTATAATGATGCTCAACATTTCATTTCAACCCTTCCAGGAAGGCTAACAATATTTTCTTTTCTGAATAAAAGGATACATTATTTAGGAGCAGTTTTGTGCTTATTAAATGCAGTCAATACATACCTGCTAATTGATTGGAATTTTAATTTTTTGGTTACTATGAGATTTAAATAGTTTAAATCTTTGAATAGTTTTTCATGATCTGAAATAAGTGGAACATGAATTGAATTTGTGAAATAACCTTGGCAAGCAGGAGATGGCAAGCCTATTGCCAAATGCTGCTCTTTTGTTTTTTTTTTGAGACCGAGTTTCGCTCTTGATGCCCAGGCTGGAGTGCAATGGCGCGATCTCAGCTCACCACAACCTCCGCCTCCCGGGTTCAAGCAATTCTCCTGCCTCAGCCTCC